AGAGACAAGAAACAGCATGGCTTCTGGAATCTGAGAAGCTACGAAGCAGTTCGACGAGATATAAAGCACAAGGCATGGAGTGCAGAAGATGAGGCTGAAGAGAGGCAGAGGCCAGATTACGGAGGAACTGGTCAGCCACGTCTGCGAGTCTGGATCTAAGGCTGATGGTGGTTTTAAAGCACAAGAGTGGTATGGTCTCAAGTGCAGCCATACAGAGGACTCGGTCAGCAAAGGGTCTGAAGAGGTTTGAATGGCTTTCAAAGAGATCGAGAGTGTAGACAGGCATGATCGGAGAGCATTCCAGTGGTCAAGGTGAAATATGATGATGATTTGAACAAGGACAGTGGCAATAAAGATGGAAAAGAAATGGATTCATATGGGATTGGTAAAATCAGTAGGATTTGGTGACTGGATGTTGCGGGGTTGGTGGGGGTGGTGAGAGAGTAAAAGAGGGCTCCTAATTTTCCAACCTGTTTATGGGTAGATGGTGGTATAAGAAATACGGGAGCAAGAGTAAGCTTGGGAGAGATGTTGAATAGTTTGAGTTTGGATGCCTAGGAGTTTCCCCGTGGTGGTGTCTTGAAGACAGTTGGAGATATAGGTCTGAAGCCTAGGGGAAGATCCAGGCTGGACACACGGTCCTGTGACCATGGGTAAAATCATGAGAATAGATGAGATTACTCAAGGAGTGTTTGGGCTGAGAGGTATTATGAATTCCTCCCTCACATTCCCATTCAGGTTTAAAATTTCCCAGTTCTTTGTCTTCTTTTTCATAATTATTACCCATTGATATCCCCTAGGTTAAATACCATATAAAAAATACTGTTTACTGGTCTAACATTACATTTAGGACCACAAATTTCAAATGGATGTTCAGTACAGCCAGATATCCCTTATAAAGTTCCACTCTCACATGCCACGTTTTCAGCTTTTCTTCCTCGAACCTTCCATTCCCTCACTGCCCTGCACTCTCGGCTGAACCTCACATCATACTTCCCTACATTGGAAAGAAAAGGGCAATTTGATCACCTCATCTTCATAGCATCAAGTCTACCAGGTTCTCCGCACCTGCTCTGTCTTCCTTCTTGTCACTGCAGAAGTGTCCCCGTTCCAATCGGCAGCAGGCCCCATAACCTGTGCTCTAGATCCCATCCTCTCTCTCACTCCCACATTGCCCCCTGCGTGCGGTCGTCATCCATTTCTCCTTCACTGCCCAGTCAGTCTCATTTTAATGCAAATAGGCCTTAATATCTCCCTCTATAAACAAAACTTTTCAGTGCCAGAGACTGCTAATGCTCACTGATACACATTTTCTTCTCTCCTTCCTGGGTACAAAGCTAAATTATATTTCTCAGCCCCTTTGTGGAGGCCATATGGAAAGTAGACTGTGACCAGAAATGACGTATTCTACGTTTAGGCTTGGCCCCTACCACTCTCCCATTCCAACCCCAGCCAGGTGGCTCACTGGTTGGAGCATTGTCCCCTACAACAGAAAGGCTGCAGGTTCCACCCCCAGTCAGGGTGGCCAATCGATGTCACTCTCTCATATCTATGTCTCTCTCTCTCTCTATCTCTCTCACAGATCAATAAAAACACATCCTTGGGTGAGGATTCTTCTTTAAAATCTCCCATTCGCGATTCTCTACTCTCTTTCCTTTCCCAAGGTGACTTTGACGGCTACCTGTTGGTGCTACAAGATTGAAGGTGCCTGGGTCCCTGGGTTACTCCTGGAAGAAAGACGCTCGACTGACATTGGACTGTGACTCAAATGACAGATAAACTTTAAATTAACCTGTTGAGATTGCAGTTGTCTGGAACAGCCCTTAGCCTAATATAACTCCACAACTCCCTCCAACTACTGTCCCATTTGTTTCCTTTAACGCTCTTTGAATAATTGCCTACACTCATGGTTTCCGCCATCCTCTTCCCGACCTCCTCCGACTCAGCGTTCATCCCCACCAGTCCACTGACATGGCTCTTATCAAGGTCATTAATGACCTTCACCTTGCCAAACCCAAGGTCATTTCCTTATCTCACCCTTTTCAGTTTCTCAGCATCATCTAGCACAACTGACCACTTCTGTTCTTTTTGAAACAATCTCTGGGACACCACAGTCTACTGGCTTCCCTCCTGCTTCCCTGGCAGCTTCTGCTTCCCTTCCAGTTCCCTAAGACTTGGAGGATCCTAGGGCTCTTTTAAAAAAATTTTTCTCTTTCCTTAGGTGAAATGCTGCTGACTCTCAAATCTTTATTTCTAGCCCTGACCTCTCCCATTAGCTTAAGTTTTACATATTCAGCTGTCTACTGGGATATCTAATAGGCATCTAAAATATAATGTCCAAAACACAACTCCTGATTTTTCCTCTCAAACCTTTTTACTCGCCTTTTTCTTCCTTTTACCTGGTTGCCCAGACCAAAAATATGGGAGTTTCCAATTCCATTTTTCCTTTCCCACCTATATCCAATCCATTACCAAGTACTTCTGGCTCTGTTACCACAATGTCTTACTAAAATCTGACTTCTTTTCACCATCTCCTCTGCAAAAACACTAGTGGAAACCACTTTTACCTCTCAGGCTACTCCAGCGCCCACTAACTGCTTTGCCTTCACCCTCACCCCAGGCGTATGCTCACAGTTTAACACATCAGGTAGAGTAGCCATCTCAAAATATAATCAAGTCGATCACATGCTTAAAACTCTCCATAGCTTTCTGGGTAAAACTGGAGCAAAATCCACCCTCCTCACCAAGTGAGATTTCTTTTTGTCTTCGAAATCTCTTTAGTGCATTACAGTATGGTTTAATGCTTATTCAATAGTTTCGTTCTTTTCTACTTTTCTACATTTCGTGGAAAGGATAATTTGTGGTTGGAAGGAGATTTGGGCCCCCCCCCAACTGGGTCCTCCCCTCCCGCACTTGCATGGCAGGCTGATATTCCCCATCCCCTCTTATTTTAGACAGCAAGGGACAGTGGAAAGAGCCTGGAGCTTTGGAATCAGAAAACCCTTTGTTGAAACTGTGCTTTTCTTTTTACCAACATTCTGAAGTAGGAACTTAACTTCTCTGAACCCCGATGACCTCATGTATAAAATGAGGATAACAATATGTTACAAATGAAGTAAATGAGCTGGCACATACGAAGGAAACCAAGTTATACTAGATTCCTTTAACACAGCGATTTTCAACCTGTGTGCCCCAAGAATTTTTAAAACATGCAATCCCTGACTATTCAGTCAGGGATCCTGACCTCTTTTCCTTTAGATGGTCAGATTAAAAAAAAAAAAAAAAA